TTGTACACCAGTGTTCACTGCAGCACTATTCACAATAGCCAAAGGGTAGAAACAACCTAAGCATCCATCAATGGATGAATAGATAAACAAAATGTGGCACATACATACAATGGAATACTACTTAGCCAGTAGGAGAAATGAAGTCTTGATACATGCTACAATATGGATGGAGTTTGAAGACATTATGCTGAGCAAAATAAGTCAATTACAAAAGGACAAATATTGTATGACCTCACTTATATAAAAAGACAAGAAAAGGCAAAAATAAAAATAAATCAATCATGAAAATCATCCAGTTTCAATATACTTAAACACGGCCACAAGAAATTGGCGTGGAAATGAGGAGGCACTCCCTGTAAGAGGCTTGGAGTCACCCCATGATGGCTCAGAAATGGGATTCTTGGCAGGAACTTGCCATCTGAGTGGCTTTGGTCCAGTTCTTCATGTCAGCTGTAAATCTAACACCCTTCCCACAGCTCAGCCAGTGGGGCCACCACTTATCCTTCTTATTCGGTGTCTCTGAGGTCAGGGGCCACTTGTCAAAGCAGGAGGGGGAACGTATCTATAGAGGAGGCTAGGTGGCTGGAGTATGAAAGTGATGCTCCTCCTTTAAAGGCAGAGGAATAAACACTGTAATCTTATTTCTATGGCTCATCCAGCCTAGATCCTGCTTAATCAATTTCCTCGTGATCTGTATGGAACAGACATAAAGACACTGGGGAACTTACATTAAATTTTTATATAATGATTCTTGTAGGCCTTTTGTCTTCTCTGTATCAGAACTGGCAGTGACTCTTGCTTTGTTCCTAAGTAAGGATCATCTCTCCAGAAGGAAGACCATGTACGAGAACTGAACAAGCACAGCACTGGGAGTCAGACAACTCTGGGTCAGAGTCCAGTCCCATCCTTACCAGTGACTTTGCACACGTCAGTCAGTGCCTCAGAGGCTCAGGGTTTTTATGTTAAAATGGGGACGAGTATCTTCTTGGCAGTGTGGTGGTAAAGATTAAGTGAGATAATGTGAGTAAATGCCTACCACTTGCAAGCTCTCAATAAGAGGCACCTTCATGACTGAGTCTAGGCTGGGTACGTGTGACAGGCTGAACTACACCATGAACCCTGAGAGGGCAACCCCATCAGTCAGGCCCAGGGGGTGACTGTGTGGCCACAGTCCAGGCCTGCAGGAAACCCTAACAACCAGTTTCAGGGCCACCTGGATGGAACAAGTCATGGCTTCTGAGGTTGGAGAAGTCTCAGGGCTGGGGAACAGATGCAACGGGGGTTGCTAGCTGTTTGCCGCAGTCTCCTCTCCCAGCTGCTGCAGGCTTGGTCGGCTGGGGACTTGCGGTGCAGTGAATTACTTAATATGGCCCTTTTAGCCATGCATGGTCTTGTGACTCCCACAGAATGACTGGGTGGGACTCTGCAAATAAGATGCTTGTGGTCCATCAAGGGGATAGGATAGCTTGCTAATAATGCAAGTAAGGTGCATGGCACTTTTGTGGGGGTGGGACCATACAAATACGGTGTATGGAACACTGACGAGAGGATTGGTCAGTTTTGCCATTCTGCTAGGCTTAAAATGAGCCTCTCAGAGGTGGAAAGGAGGGGACCTCACTATCATCAAGAAAGAAGAGCCAGGAGTGGAGCGCGTCCTTTGGTCTAGGGTCCCTGCGCTGAGATTCTCCTAGACCCAGAAGAGACAGAGCCGTAACAGCAGAGATGGTGTGAGATGGTGAGAAGCAGTGGCAGAGAAATGGCAAGAGATGGTGCAGTGGGCTTCCCAACCCTTGGAGCAAGGTGGCTACAGTGGATGTGCCAACCCACGAGCGAGAGAACGGAGTGCCTTTGGGCAGGAGGCTTCCTGGTGGAGTGGGGTGCCTCTGGGAACTTATCAGCAGAGCTAAAGAGCTTTGTAACACTTGACAGAGCAGGGCAGAAGCCAGGCCTAGGCGGGGCCAAGGGTCAAGGGCTGAGAGAGGAGGCCTGTCCTGAGGGGTCTGAGAGGAGCTGAGAGAGCTGTCCTGCACTGAAGAAGGGAGACTTTGCCTGCATGCTTCCTGATCCTGATCCCAAGTTGTAACCTGTTATTTCCCTCATAAACCCCATAACTGTGAGTATTGCCTGTGAGCTCTGTGTGGCCATTGCAATGAATGATGGAACCCAGCAGAGAAGTAAATAATGCCATGGGAGGGACAGCTAGTGTCAGAACTGGTAAAAAGGTTGGGAGGTGGAGGTATGTTGACCTCCTCCTCACAGGAATCAGCCTTGGTCTGAAGCTGATGGTGATTCTTCCCCCTTATGAAGTTAGAAGAGGTCAGATGCCCCTGTGCCATTTTTACAGGGCTCTTGCTGGAGCTGGGAGCTGAGGGAAGAAGCAGAGAGTATGGAGAGCCTTGTGCAAGCTCAGGGTTTGGGCATTACTGCAAGCCAGATGGTTAAAGGAGCCCTGTGGCTGTCCCACCAAGGGTCTGCAGGATCTGCTTGCCTGGTCCCTGGCCAGAAAAGGACATCCTGGGCAGAGAAACCAACAGTGTACAGGAAGAGCAGCAGCTTCTTAATCCGTCCAGAAGAGAGCCCAGCTGAAGCATTCTTCTGCTCTCATTTAATTATCAAAGAGATTCCTCTTTTTCTGTCCTCCCTAGGGCTGCATGTCCTAGATTCCCTGGGCCCAGTAATTGCTTCTCTCTTAATAGAAATCATCAGTATTTATTACACCAAGTGCTCCAGCTTATTTCAGCTCTCCTTGTAGCAACATTAAGGCGAGTGCTTGGTGACTCCACTTAATGACAAAAGTAAAGGCTCCCGAGCTGTTCTCTTTGCTTGGGAGGGCTGACGAAATCTGGAGCCGAGCCTGAGAAATGAGCTGAAGGGCCATGTGTGGGGTCTGTAGCGGGGCCCTGACATGGCTCTGGGTGAGCAAGAGGCAACCAGGGCCTGGAGACCCCATAAGAGGACTGCCCCCGCCCTCCCCACAAAGTAAGTCTCCTAGGGGCTTCTGTTCCACATAGGGTACATAGGGATGTGGAGACTTGAGTTCAGATTCCTGCTCTACTGCCTGGGGCCTTGTGAACTGTGGCCTTCTGGAACTTCAGTTTTCTCATCTATACAACAAGGAGAAAAATATCTACCTCTTAGGACTGGTGTGAAATTAAACGAGAAAAGAATACAAAAGGACTCCACAGAGGGCATGCCACAAACGTTTCTTCCTCCCTCCTTCTAGGAATTGTTGCTGTAGGGATGAAATGATAGGAGACTGGGCCTCACACAGTGCCTGGTATGAACGCTGGTTTCTTCCTGCAGCCTCCTCAGCCTCTCTGTGTCTGATGATGACCAAACTTAGAAACATAGTCCTGGGGTGCATGTGGGTTTGGGTGGACACCAGGCTGGCTGCCACTACAGCCTTAGACTCCTGCGGGCGACTGTGGAGAATCCCCACTCACCTCTACTCAGTTGTCATGCTGGGGTTCACTGTCCACCCACCTCTTTGTGCTGTCAGGTGACAGCCCTTACCAGGACCCCATCTCTTTGAAAAGTGGGTGCTGTGTGTGGCCTCAAGGAGACTGGGCAGGTTTGGGGTCAAAACCGGAGGTGACCTTCTGATGACATATCTATCTTCAGGCAGCTATGTCTTTTAAGGCCCTGGGGTGACTCAGCCGTTTAGGGAGCACAATTATCGAGTACCTAGTGTGTGCTTTCACACAGAGGAGGAACGTGAAGCTCAGAGAAGCCTCAACAGCCCGAGGACTAGGAGGCCAGGACTGAGCCCAGGGCCAGCTGACTCCACAGCCTCTTCATTCCTGTGTGCATCCCCTGCCTATAGCATCTGAGCACTTTCTGGAGGGGTTTAAACTACATCTGTTATGCATTATTTAGAAGCTTTGCTAATCCGTTTGTAAATATCCATGTGTCGATTCTGTGGTAAAAACAGGCATGAATGTGTTTTCTGACTGCTGACCCCCCAAGAACACAGGGATTATCTGGCAGTATGCTGTGCTAGTGAATAGGCAACTGGGGCAGGGAAGCCGACCAGGTTTTCTGAGCACCAGAATGTTCTCGAGGTTCATACCAGAAGTCCCAGCATTAAATTCTAGTCAAGAACAAATCAATATCACCTCACCAAAGGACCAAGGAAAACACCGCTCTGTTCCCACGTCACTAGGTTCCTTGTTTTCTATTCTATTCCTTTCATTTGTTTGAAATGTATGGTGTCCCCTCACCTCAGGCCGCTTTTCTCCTGCTCCCGTCTCATGCTACCTCCCTCAGATCGGTTTGAGAGCCTGTTTTTCCTTGGTGCTACAGGGGCCTCTCCAGTAAGGTAAAGAGTGAGGGGCACAAAGGTAGAGAAACCGAGGCAGAGATGAGGAATGTTCAAGCAACAGGGATGTGGAGATGAAGTGGAGGGACAAGGCCCCAAAAAGAACAGAAAGAGACCAGGGGCCTCCATTGCTCTCAGCAGCAACTGGAGCTGCCTGCACACATCCCCCCGTGTCACACACATGTGAGTAATTACAGAGGCTCTCTCTGGGCAGAGCCTCCCCGGCTGGTTCCCGTCTCGCCCTCACAGGCTCATAATGGAATTAAATGTGACTCCACTGCAGTCAATAAAACCCACTCTTGGAAAGGAAGTAGATTATGGGTCAGGGAAGTGTGGGTGGTCTGCTGAGCTGCCTCCGATGGTTCCCTGTCGGGGACCTTCCCCATTCCTCCTCTCTTCAAGTCCACCAAATTACCCACTGCCAAAGTGGGGCCCCTGTTTCAGATTTGTTATTTAGATTGACTTTGTCAGGTCCTTCAACACTGATGTAGCATCACGAAAATTATACAGCATGGAATCCGGAGAAGTTCTCAGAATTAGACATTTTCTTTAGCATCTGTCACCGAAAGAGCCAACCATTTAGCCTGTGAAGGGGGTGGGTGGGCATAGGCACATGGTCCCTTGCTGCCTGTTGCCCTCTAGAGAAGCAAGGTCAGTGCAGTCTCTAGCTGTGGGAGCTTACCTTACACGGGTGGGGATCCACCCCATATGTCTCCAATGTCTGCGCTTTCCTTAAAAAGTTCAGCTCTGATGTTGCTGGTGTTTGACCACTGGAATAAAGAAAATGAGATGTCAGGGCTTCCTGTTCCCACGGGTTTCACTGAGGTAAACTCTCTATTAAGAAGTGCTCAGGGGGTTGGGGAGTGGGGAAAAGTGAGGGTTATTGCTTATGGAGTACTGACTTCCGGTTTACAATGATGGAAAAATCACACTGATTAAGGGTAGGGTTGCACAGCTGATTAATATAATTGCTATCAATAAGTTGTATACCTGTAAAAAGCTGAATTGGCAAAAGTTGTGTGATAGATGTATTTACAACAGTGAAAAAAAAAGAGTAGCTGCTGAGGCTATGTACAACCAAATACCTCATGGGATTTGATTCCTAGGTTTGGAGGTTTAGGGTCATGCTTTCATGGAACATCTCAGTTAATTGGCCTAATAACGCGTTTCTTGCTTCGGTTTATTCCTAGTTCATTGTGTAGTGCCTGGGGACTTAAAAGCTTACAAGTGGCCATCCAAAGCAGAACAATTGGTCTCTATTTGCCTGGAACAACAGAGGAAGAAGGAGAGTCAGGAACAGGAGGAGGATATGGAATGTGTGGCTAATTGCCTTCATGAACAACTGCCTCCTTTGCCATGAGACCAGAAGAACTGGATGGTGCTCGGCTACCATTATTGAACATTTTGATCAAAGATTCCATAGAATAATCCTGATCAAAAGGGGGAAAATGCAGAATGGAATTTCATATTCTCATGAACTTCAGACTTTCTGGAGTCATGGAGGCTAGATGAACCCTCAAAACTATTGCCCTGAGATAATCTTTAAACCTTAAACCAAAAATATCCCCTGAAGTCTTCTTAAAACCAAATAATAGTTTAGCTTAACTAGTAAAGAATGTCTGCCTTGAGATTATGCTCTTTTAAGGTCTACCTATATGGGGTCAAACTGACAACAGCAACTCAGAAGATTAGATAGGCACCCTAGGGGGTGGTGAGTTTATGTTAATGGGGGAGGAACAACTCAGAAAAGGAGGGTGAGCATGGTTGCACAATTTGAGAATGTAATCCGTATCACTGATATGTATACGTAGAAGCTTGGCATATGTTTTTGTTGTATATATTCCCAACAACAATAACAAAAAATAAATAATTAAAAAAAGAAGTGCTCAAAATGTGGCACATACCCCAGGTTTTCATGAGTGTATTCCGTTATTCGAGGACCAACTTCAGAGGCTCCTGTCTAGGATCAAAAACTCAAACGCCTTCAGGGGTGAGGCAGGCTATATCACTGACCTGGGCTGAGTGTAAGATAGTATGGACTGTGGCAAACTGTAAAGTGCCTTCTGCATCTAATGGGGACAGCTGTTCCTCAGCTCTGAGACTGTAGTCAGGTGGGAACGTGGGGCCCAGAATTGCTAGATGTTCTGATTTTTTAAAAAGAGAAATCAGAGATACTGATTTTTATGTGGTATTGCATGATTTAAAGAGCCCTGGTGGCGCAGTGGTTAAGCACTCAGCTGCGAACTGAAAGGTTGGCGGTTCGAACCCACAGCTGCTCAGCAGGAGAAAGATGTGGCAGTCTACTTCCATAAAGATTTACAGCCTTGGAAACCCTATGGGTCAATTCTACTCTGTCCTATAGGGTCTATAAGGTCGCTAGGAGTCAGAATGGATTCGATGGCAATGTTTTGTTTTGTTTTTTTTTAAATTAATTTTTGCATGATTTTAAATACTATGGGTACAGACAAAACACATCTGCAGGCTGGCTGCAGCCCACTGTTTTCTTTTCTGTTATCGGATCTAGACTGAAATACAAAGAAGGAGTCTGTATATCTTGCTGGCGCCATCTAACCCTCTTCCTTTACCAAAAAGGAACGTGGGAATATAAGGTGAGGAGAAGTGTAGAAGACAGTGACGAGCTCCTCGGACTTACTCTAGCTCTGTTTGTCCACAGGATGATGACTGTGAAAAGGAAACAGGCAGAAAAAAGAAGAAACCAGCCCCAGCTCTAAGCCGTCTGAAGAAGGGGCTTTTAGCATCGTTCCTCTCCTGGCTGCCTCTTCGGCAGATGTGTTGATGAGGTCAGAGCAGAACCAGTGGCAGTATCACCATCAGCTCTCTCATGGGTCCAGTGCCCTGGTGAAGCAGATGCACTTCTACAGATGTGGGACTGTGTCCAGTGTGTGGAGAGCAGGCAGTCTGTGAGGTCAACAACAGCTCTGATGGCTGGTGGGAAGGACTGAACACTGCTAATTAATGTAATATGGCAGGGCAGGAAGATAAGCCAACCCAAGCAAGAAGCAGGCCAGATTCCCTTCTGGAGTCCCTTTTGGAGTGGCACCAATCAATTAGCAACTTTATGTGCCAGTCTCTGGGCTACCTCCTATAAAATATACAATACAAATAAAATATAGGGCACAGTCTGGCTAAACATTGTGAAAATGTCAATTCTACCCAAAGCAGTCTACAAATACCATGCAATCCTGATCCAAATACCATTAGCATTCTTTAACAAAATGGATGAAGGCACTGGCGAAAAACAAGGCTCTGGGAATTGATGGAATACCAATTGAGATGTTTCAACAATTGGATGCAGCACTGGAAGTGCTCACTTGTCTATGCCAAGGAATTTGGAAGACAGCTACCTGGCCAACTGACTGGAAGAGATCCATATTTATGCCTATTCCCAAGAAAGGTGATCCAACTGAATGCGGAAATTATCAAACAATATCATTAATATCACAGGCAAGTAAAATTTCGCTGAAAATCATTCAAAAGCAGCGGCAGCAGTGCATCAGCAGGGAACTGCCAGAAATTCAAGCCTGATTCAGAAGAGGACATGGAACCAGGGATATCATTGCTGATGTCAGATGGACCCTGGCTGAAAGCAGACACTACCAAAAAGATGTTTACATGTGTTTTATTGACTATGCTAAGGCATTTGACTGCGTGGATCATAACAAATTATGGATAACATTGTGGACAATGGGAATTCCGGAACATTTAATTGTGCTCATGAGGAATCTGTACATGGATCAAGAGGCAGTTGTTGGAACAGAACAAAGGGCTACTGCATGGTTTAAAGTCAGGAAAGGTGTGCGTCAGGGTTGTATCCTTTCACCATACTTATTCAATCTGTATGCTGAGCCAATAATCTGAGAAGCTGGACTATATGAAGAAGACCAGGGCATCAGGATTGGAGGAAGACTCATTAACAATCTGCATTATGCAGATGACACAACCTTCCTTGCTGAAAGTGAAGAGGACTGAAGCACTCACTAATGAAGATCAAAGACCACAGCCTTCAGTATGGATTACACCTCAACATAAAGAAAACAGAAATCCTCACAACTGGACCAATAAACAACATCATGATAAATGGAGAAAAGATTGATATTGTCAAGGATTTCATTTTACTTGTATCCACAATCAACACCCATGGAAGCAGCAGTCAAGAAATCAAAAGACGCATTGCATTGGGCAAATCTGCTGCAAAAGACCTATTTAAAGTGTTAAAAAGCAACAAAGTCACCTTCAGGACTAAGGTGCCCCTGACCCAAGCTATGGTGTTTTCAACCGCCTCATATACATGCGAAAGCTGGACAATGCATAAGGAAGACCGAAGAAGAATTGATGCCTTTGAATTGTGGTGTTGGCAAAGAATACTGAATATACCATAGACTGCCAAAAAAATGAATAAATCTTGTCTTGGAAGAAGTACAACCAGAACGCTCCTTAGAAGCAAGGATGGTGAGACTATGTCTCACATACTTTGGACATGTTATCAGGAGGGATCAGTCCCTGGAGAAGGACATCATGCTTGGTAAAGTACAGGGTCAGTGAAAGAGAGGAAGACCCTCAATGAGATGGATTGACACAGTGGTTGCAACAATGGGCTCAAGCACAGCAACAATTGTGAGGATGGCGCAGGACCAGGCAGTATTTCATTCTGTTGTGCATAGGGTGGCTCTGATTTGAAACAGACTTGATGGCACCTAACAACAACAACAACAACAACAACGCAATGGAAAAACTCATCATTAACTTTATATGGAAAGGAAAGAAGCCCCAGATAAGTAAAGCACTATTGAAGAAGAAGAACAAAGTAGGAGGCTTCACACTACCTGACCTCAGAACCTACTATACAACAATGGTAGTCAAAACAGCCTGGCACTGGTACAACGACAGACACATTGACCAATGGAACAGAACTGAGAACCCAGATGTAAATCCACCCACCTGTGGTCGGCTGATTTTTGACAAAGGACCAAAGTCCATTAACTGGGGAACAGACAGTCTTTTTAACAAATGGTGCCGGCAAAACTGATGTCCATCTGTAAAAAAATGAAACAAGACCCATACCGCACACCGTACACAAAAACTAATTCAAAATGGATCAAAGACCTAAATATAAAACCAAAAACTATAAAGATGATGGAATCAAAAATAGGGTCAACGCTAGGGGCCCTAATATACAGCATAAATAGGATACAAGCCATAACTAACAATACACAAACACCAGAAGATAAGCTAGATAACTGGGATCTTCTAAAAATAAAATACTTATGCCCATCAAAAGACTTCACCAAAAGAGTAAAAAGAGAACCTACAGACTGGGAAAATTTTTTTGGCTATGACATAGCTGACAAAGGTCTAATCTCTAAAATCTGTAGGAAAATCCAACACCTCCATAACAAAAAGACAAATAATCCAATTAAAAAATGGGCAAAGGATATGAACGGACACTTCACCAAAGAACACATCCAGTCAGCTAATGGACACATGAGGAAATGCTCTTGATCACTAGCCATTAGAGAAATACAAATCAAAAGTATAACGAGATACTATATTTCACTCTGACATTACTGGCACTAATAATAATAATAAACAGAAAATAACAAATGTTGGAGAAGTTGTGGGGAGATTGGAACTCTTATGCACTGCTGGTGGGAATGCAAAATGGTACAATCACTATGGAAAATGATATGGTACTTCCATAAAAAGCTAGAAATAGAAATACCATATGATCCAGGAATCCCACTTATAGGAA